TATTAGTCTCCAAACACCAACATATATCTCCAAAGAAGCAAAAAAACTCCTTAGCTAATTTAGCGATGAAGCAGAGTGGGTCTTCCTGAAGTGTCAGAAGACATTAGAAACACACAAGAGTCTGCTATGCAAACATTACAATCAAACAGGTGTAACATGCAAGCTGTTAACCTGGGCTAGAGAGAGAGAGAGAGACAGAGAGAGAGAGAGACACAGACAGAGACAGAGAGAGACACAGAGAGAGACAGACTCACGTTATCATCCATCAGGCAGGGCGGTCCGTTCCTCCTTGTCTGAGGTACAAGTAATATGTCTCTACTGATGAACTCCTTGCTAATTAGTCCCACCTTTGGCTGATCTACTTTTAACTTCCTTTCGGAAGTTGAAGCTTTTGGGTTGTAAAGCTCTTCACTATCCGGATATGGCGGGACACCTAAGATGCCCCCCCCCCCCTCGTTCTCCATCTCTTCCTTTCCCTTCCATCCCATTTCTTGAGCTACTCTTCTCTCCCATGGTTCCCTCTATCCCTCGACTTTCCCGCCATTTGCGTCGCCTCGCCCCGACCCCATCCCTCCCCTCGTCAGACAGGCAGCAGCCGCCCGGCCGGGGACCACACCAGACCTCTCGCCAGTCAGAATAAACCCAAACAAAAAAAAGGGGGGAAATTTCTTCCGAGAAACTGACTCGTAGCCACCAGGCGGTGTTCTCTCTCTCTCATCTCCTCTAGTTCTCCTTCTTCTCTCTCTTGGTTCCTCTTCTTCCCTCTCTTTGTTCTCTTCTTCCCCTTCCATTGTTCTTCTCTTTCCCTCCCTTTGTTGTTGTTCTTTCTTTAGTTCCCCACTTTCTCTAAACATAGTCTCTCTCTCTCTCTCTCTCTGTCTCTCTCTCTCTCTCTCTCTCTGTCTCTGTCTCTCTCTCTCTCTCTCTCTCTCTCTCTCTCTCTCTCTGTCTCTCTCTCTCTCTCTCTCTCTCTCTCTCTCTCTCTCTCTCTCTCTCTCTCTCTCTCTCTCTCTCTCTCTCTCTCTCTCTCTCTCTCTCTCTCTCCACATTTCCTTTCGCACGTGGCAGGTACGTTCCTACACGTTCACCACGTGTGAGTGAAGGGAAGGGCAGGATGAAGGGAGAGGATGACGGAAGGATAGACACAGGTCTATGGGGGCCTGGATAGACTCAAGAAGCCGGTGTAAAGAGAGAGAGAGAGAGAGAGAGAGAGAGAGAGAGAGAGAGAGAGAGAGAGAGAGAGAGAGAGAGGAGAGAGAGAGAGAGAGAGAGAGAGAGAGAGAGAGAGAGAGGAGAGAGAGAGAGAGAGAGAGAGAGAGAGAGAGAGAGGAGAGAGAGAGAGAGAGAGAGAGAGAGAGAGAGAGAGAGAGAGAGAGAGAGAGAGAGAGAGAGAGAGAGAGAGAGAGAGGAGAGAGAGAGAGAGAGAGAGAGAGAGAGAGAGAGAGAGAGAGAGAGAGCACGTCTCAGCAGTAAACATGATGGGCCAGTAACGACCAACATGAGTCCCACACTCCAGGCGCCTGACAAGAAAGCCAACAGTAAGGAACTGTTTGGCTACCTGCCCAAGAGTGTCATGCTATTCATTCCTCAGCTCCTGACTTCATTCCTCAGCTCCTGACTCCATTCCTCAGCTCCTGACTCTATTCCTCAGCTCCTGACTCCATTCCTCAGCTCCTGACTCTATTCCTCAGCTCCTGACTTCATTCCTCAACTCCTGACTCCATTCCTCAGCTCCTGACTTCATTCCTCAGCTCCTGACTTCATTCCTCAGCTCCTGACTTCATTCCTCAGCTCCTGACTTCATTCCTCAGCTCCTGACTTCATTCTTGGACCCCGCCTTTCTAACCAATCTATTTTTTTCCTATTAAATGTCAACTACATATATTTTTAACACATACACATCCCCAGGAAGAAGCCCGTAGCAGCTGTCTAACTCCCAGGTACCTATTTACTGCTAGGTGAACAGGGGGGATCAGGGTGAAAGAAACCTTGTTCATTTGTTTCTGCCTCGGCCGGGAATCGTACCCGGGCCATTCGGACTACGACCTCCAAGCGCTGTCCACTCAGTCGCGAGGTCCCTGTGTGTATTCACCTAGTTGTGTTTGCGGGGGTTGAGCTTTGCTCTTTCGGCCCGCCTCTCAATTGTCAATCAACTGTTTACTAACTTTTTTTTTTTTTTTTTTTTTTTCCACGCCACACCACACACCCCAGGAAGCAGCCCGTAACAACTGACTAACTCCCAGGTACCTATTTACTGCTAGGTAACAGGGGCTTTCAGGAAGAAAGAAACTTTCCCCATTCAAGTTCAAGTTCAAGGATGTTTATTGAGATAAGCAATAAATACATCTCAAAGGGATAGAGTAGCTTAGGCTATTTCCCTGGCTATTACACCCAGACAGCCACACTCAAGCTGCCACACCCACACCACACCATGGTGATACACCCAGACGGCCACACTCAAGCTGCCACACCCACACCACACCATGGTGATACACCCAGACAGCCACACTCAAGCTGCCACACCCACACCACACCATGGTAATACACCCAGACGGCCACACTCAAGCTGCCACACCCACGAGATCATGCGACCACACCCAGTCTGCCCCAAGTCTGAGAAAAACCGGAAGCAGTTTGGCCATTGTTTTTGTGGCGCCGGAAGTATACCCCCAAGTCTGGTCACGCCTCCCCCCTCCTCCTCCTACCCATCCATCCCCCCCGTTCCCCCATCCATTCTCTAGCCCTTCCTATCCTTCCACAACGCATCCCATTCCCTCATTCTTATCCTATCCCTCTAATTCATTATTCCAATAATCTCCATTAAAAATAAAACTTCAGTGATGCACTTTGTTGTTCGGTTCAAATGACTGATAAAGTTCACTTCTAGAACTAGGCTTGGTCGAAGATTTGTCTTATGAAACCTAAGCAATCAATCGTTATTAAAATTACAGTACGTAAGGTAATGTTACGTGATTACACACAGAGATCACACTAACGTGATGCATCAAATGAACAAATCCACAAGGGCCGTGACGAGGATTCGAACCTGCGTCCGGGAGCATCCCAGACACTGCCTTAATCAACTGAGCTACGACAGGGCTAAAAAGGGTTGAAACCGAAGTTCTACTGAACTTACTGGATCCCGTAGCCCTGTCGTAGCTCAGTCGATTAAGGCAGTGTCTGAGACGATCACGGACGTAGGTTCGAATCCTCGTCACGCCCCTTGTGGATTTGTTCATATTCGAATTCATTATCGAATCTCGCATTAAAGTTGTAGATGGAGGTGGTTTCTACAACTTCTTTTAGTGCGCTAGCTGAACCGTACAGGGCACGAGTATTTCCTTACATTTCTATCACTTATTTGTGTTTCCAACTTCAACTTCCATGTCCTCTCATCCTACTTTCTCTCACTTTAAAGGGCCTGTCCTTGTCTATCTTGTATCCCTCAGTATCTTGTATGTTGCGATCATTTCCCTCTGCTTCTTCTGTCTTTTAGGGTTTACTGAACCTATCCTCATATCTTATATCCTCTTTCAGCTCTGGCATTGATCTTGTTGAAATCTTCAGTACTTTCTCAATGTGTTGCATAATCCACTATTGGTCAAGCAGGGGATGTGCAGAGTGCTTCTTGAGGTTATCTTGAGATGATTTCGGGGCTTTTTCCCCGCGGCCCGGTCTTCGACCAGGCCTCCACCCCCAAGAAGCAGCCCGTGACAGCTGACTAACACCTAGGTACCTATTTTACTGCTAGGTAACAGGGGCATAGGGTGAAAGAAACTCTGCCCATTGTTTCTCGCCGGCGCCTGGGATCGAACCCAGGACCACAGGATCACAAGTCCAGGGTGCTGTCCGCTCGGCCGACCGGCTGCCTTTGAGAGAATGCTTTGAGCTTTGAGAATGGTGCTTTGAGAGAATCTTGATTTATATTTAAATGTTGCATAAATCACACACACACATGTTGCGTGTGTGTATTTATTAGTGTTTTATTATTTATATATACAAGAGTTTTTACATTCATGTAAAGGCACGCAAGTCTGCTTATGCAGTATCTGTAACCATTCAAAAGCCCATAACTACGTTCAGTTTAAAGGAACATCTTATAATATCAAAGAAAAGAAAAGAATAACAATAGAAATTAGTTACAAAAGTCATATTTTATTGAAATTCTTGTGGTTTATTTTGACAAAATGTATAGAGGTAATAAAAACAGCCACAATTGGCTCTACTTAGAATAATCACTATAAAATAGTCAATTTACATTTGTTTAAATTTCTTATAATAAACTTATTAATAGAGAGAATTATTCTGACGGGACTTTAAGGGATTAAGGGGGTATTTACACAGACCTTTTCTAAACTTAAACCTATGCAATGTACACAATTCGTGTTGTATATTTTTTTGTATATTTAATACCTTATTAGTATACTAAGATATACCATGAGAAATTAGAGCAATTTGTGAGTTTACATATATAATTATACATTACATATATAATTACATATATAATTCTATAAAATTTAATTAAAAATTAAAGTATAGCTGGTGAGTTAAAGCAGGATATATGAAGAGGAATGTCATTCTTATAATTTTTAATAAGGTATAAGCTGAGCCATTTTTTGACCACGTGTTTTGATTCCATTTATTTGCATGCATGGGTGACGATATTCCTAAATTTACTAAATCCACGTATTAATATCCATAATCTAAATGGAATAGTGAAGCTAATTTTTTAATATTTGTATATTATAGTGAATTATGATTATTTTTAATTCTAGAATTGTGAAAAAACAGAATTGGTTTGTTTACGTAGTCTTAGTACCGGCGTCTCCCGCTAGGCGGCGTCTTCCTCCATACGCTTAGGGGTCATTGTTTCAAAATCTTGTATTTATTGTAGGAATTACAAGTTATATGCTAACTGGTGAGTAGTGAGATGAAGTGTTGAATGACTCAGAAGGCGTGAGAGATGAGGAGGAGTTAGAGTGGTGTGAAATAAGGCGAGAGAGAAGGGGGAAGGGGAGAGAGAAGTGGCAACACTGTAGCCACCATAACAACACACTGAGACGCGCCGCGCACACCCAACCTTAAGGCTGGGAAATATTGGCTCCTGCTCCTCCTGCAGCGTCGCCTGCTGTCCCTCGGTGACGGTGGCCGCTCCTCCTCAAGGCTGTGAGGTGTGTGATAGGGGGGTGTTGGCTCAGCCTGGAGTCTGTCTACTCTGGGGTCTTGGTGGTGGAAGACGCTGCCTTTTGCACGTCTAGCCTGTCATCTTGTCTAGCCTGCCTTCTTGTCTAGCCTGTCGTCTTGTCTAGCCTGTCGTCTTGTCTAGCCTGTCGTCTTGTCTAGCCTGTCGTCTTGTCTAGCCTGTCATCCCTCGGTCCCCCCTCTCCTAGGGATACAGGGTTCCTTATACCCGAGATGGTTTTCAAACAGATTTGGAGCATACCTTCCCCGGTCATCTTGAGATGATTTCGGGGCTTTTTAGTGTCCCCGCGGCCCGGTCCTCGACCAGGCCTCCACCCCCAGGAAGCAGCCCGTGACAGCTGACTAACACCCAGGTACCTATTTTACTGCTAGGTAACAGGGGCATAGGGTGAAAGAAACTCTGCCCATTGTTTTTCGCCGGCGCCTGGGATCGAACCCGGGACCATAGGATCACAAGTCCAGTGTGCTGTCCGCTCGGCCGACCGGCTCACCTTATGCTAAGATCTTGCATACATTTTTGGCAAAGTGCACGTTTTAATTGTCAAAATAGGATGTAGTGTTAGGTTGTGTTAGGCTAGGTTTGGGTGGTTAAGGTAGTTTTGGTTTGAGGTAGATAACCTTTTGTAATATGTCGGCAAACTGTCTTGAACGGTGCGACTTGCATCCAATCCAGTCTATCCTAATGCAGCCTAACTAGATATGTATACTGTATATGAATTTTACAATAAGAAACGATTTGACCACTACGGTCAAATCGTTTTCTTATTGTTTTTTTATTCTTAACTCGGCTAGTGTTTAACCTGTCATGCTGAGGGATAGTGCATGATCCTGTTGTCTGGCAGATAGAGGACTTGTCATTTCTGCAGTTCAGATAGATAATAATTCTAATAATTATTGACATTTGCAGTTCCCTGTCATGGTATATAACTTCATACATAAGTTTAGAAGTAGGGTGGAAATGTCAATTCGATTTTACATCATCGGTAATATCACGGAGGATTCACGTGGATATTATTGTTAGAGTATGCAACAACAATCATGAAAACACAGATTTTATTTTTCAATGTTTTTTTTTTTTTTTTTTTTACATTACTATAAGTAATATCTTATCTGTTTTAAGTTACAGTATAGATTGCCCCCACACCTAACATATCCAGCCCAATGGGGTGCTGAGCAATTTGGAAATTGGCCAATGGAATATTGAATTACAGTATTTGGATACAATTTAATGTAATGTAAAATAAAGGCCAAAACTTATTCAGGGTTAAAATGGCACAACAGCAGGGGCCAGATTCACGAAGCAGTTACACAAGTACTTACAAATGTGTACATCTTGGCTTTGGTTACATTTATCAAACAGTTTACGAGCATGAAAACTTCCCAATCAACTGTTGTTACTGTTATAAACAGCCTCCTGGTGCTTTGGAGTTCATTAACTTTAATAATTGTAAACAAAGCCGCCAAAGATTTTGAAAAGATGTACAGGTTCATAAGTACGTACGTAACTGCTTCGTGAATCTGCTCCCAGGTGTTTTGGTAGTTGTGGAGAAAATGATGTAGGTCCTGGACCATTCTCAAGTCGATTATGAATCGACTCGAGAATGGTCCAGGACGGACCGAAACGTCGTCGTCCCTTCACTTTCTAGTGTGTGGTTTGGTCAACATATTTCAGCCACGTTATTGTGACTTCTCGTCTTCTCATATTAATGTGATGTATGAATGAGACAAACGGTAAGAGCCATGAGTGGGAGTCTTACCTACACACAGCACACCAATCTACACAACATGTGTTATACCAACACTAAAATATATAGCAGTGGCATGGAATCTATATATATACCTTGTGATGCATAAAATCAGAATTGAAAAAGTACAAAGGTTTGCACCAAGGTTTGTGCCAGAGCCAAGAGGGTTAAGCTATGAGGATATGCTAATGAATGTAAACTCACAGCTCTAAAGAATAGAAGGAACATGGGGAATACGAGCACAACATACAAAATACTGAAGGTAATTAGATAAGGTGGGCAAAGATAGCCTCTTTAAATTGACAAATTACGACAAAAGGACACAGATGGAGGCTGGATATGCAAATGAGTCAATGTAAGGAAATAATTGTATGGGTTAGTCAACAAGTGAAATGCACTGAAAGTAATAGTAGTGGAAGATGCCTCCATCCACAATGTTAAAGCCAGATTTGACAAGGAATTTGAATGTCAAAATATGGAATTAATTTATAATGCAACATGTACAACAAGGCAAGTAGGCAGGGCATAAAAAGCGAGAGCTCGCTTTCCTGTAAACCCTGTTAGGTAAGTAAGTGCCACTACCTTCCTCCACCACCTCGCCTTATGCGTTTCTGTTCTCGTATTGGCATTCTTGGTGATATTTAGCGCCCTCTGTTTATTTTGCACTTTGATGGTGCTACATAGCCTTCCCGGTTTGGTGCCTTTTTTTTGATGATTATTTGCTTACTTCCTCCACCACCACCACTCACCTTCTTTTTTCTTTTCAGGGAATGAATAATGCAAGAATGAAGATAAAACAGAAAAATGTATAAAGAGAAAGAAGAAACTTTTAGAGATATTTGTATTTACTAAGGGTGTAGGCAAAATTTGAAATCCATTCCCAAGGAATTTCTTGGAATAGTTTCCCATAATTGGACAGGAAACCTATCAGGCTTATTGAGGACCCCCTAGACTAGCTACTGACTTTCACCAGGATGCAAGCCACAACAGTTGCCTGGCTTCCCAGTACCTATTTACTGCAAGGGGAAACATAGGTATCAAAGGAAAGGAAACATTGCCAAAAAACACTTCTGTCCTGCCCTACGAATTGAACTGTGCTGACCCCTTATGTGACAGGTAAAAAGAAAGGTAGAAAAAATAGTAAATTAAATGTTTGTTCAACTTGGAAACGATGAATAATATGTTTTCTGTGGACTGCACTTACCGGACTCCTCAAGATGCTCCAGCCTACTCGCCGTCCGCACAGCCGGAGGAAAAAGAACCGGTGGTGCCACCAAATAACAGTAAAAGTTTTGTATGCAAGTGTAGCAAGGTATTTTCAAATAAAGCCGATTACACACGGCACATTCGAGTTCATACTGGAGAGAAACCTCATGCATGTACCATATGTGGAAGAGAATTTTCCCTGAAAGGTAATCTTACGAAGCATATGCAGCTTCACACGGAGCAAAAAAGATACTGTTGTCCTGACTGTGCTAAAACATTCCATAAAAAAATTTATCTTCATCAGCACATGAGGATTCATACTGGTGAGAAGCCTTTCAAATGTACACATTGTGAGCGAGCATTTTCTTTAAAAAGTAACCTTGTTCATCATGTTAAGCTGCACACTGATAGGAAATCATACAAGTGTCCGGAATGTGACAAACTTTTCCTCAAGAAGAGCTATCTTGATCAGCATTTGCGGACACACACTGGTGATAGACCTCATAAGTGTGAAGAGTGTAATAAAGCATTTTCACTAAAGGGCAACTTAGTTCAACATATGAAAAGACATAGTGGAGAAAAGCCTTACTCTTGCCCTGAATGTGGGAAATCATTTGCCTTGAAAGGGGACCTGAAAGAGCATGAAAGGGTGCATGCTGTTGAAAAATATTCCCAATGAGAGGAGTTAGATGTTACAATAAGGAAGACATTTGCTTGAAATAAAATTTCATAAAAGTATTTTTTCTGGGGTAGGGGGGGGGGAGGAGCCCCGTCGTCTCCCCGGTAGCCTCCGGGTCTCGCCCAGTAAATGTCATTTCACTACATTCAGGCTGTTTTTTTTTTTTTAAGTTTATGATATGACTTAATCTTAGTCAGCCAGGTTGATATCAAATAAATCTCATTAAGAAATACTGTTCTGTACATGCTATATTAGGATTTATTGAGGGGCCTTCGATTCATGAAGTAACTGCCCTATTAGTGACTGTGAATAGGCCTTCTCTGTTATGCACTATACCAAACGCAATGACCATCTCGAGGCAGTGCTTGTTGGGCAACCATTTGCATATGTGAGACAACTGACATGACCGAAATCTGTGGTGGGATTATTTGACCAGACCACACACTAGAAGGTGAAAGGAAGACGACGTTTCGGTCCGTCCTGGACCATTCTCAAGTCGATTGTTACTTGAGAATGGTCCAGGATGGACCGAAACGTCGTCGTCCCTTCACCTTCTAGTGTGTGGTCTGGTCAAATTACTTCAGCCACGTTATTGTGACTCATCGCCTGCACGTCGGATTACCTGTATTTGTTTTGAAAATTGTCATAGAAAATGGCCAATGGTGCTACATTTTCTTGAAATTAGGATTTGATCATATTTTATTCCATGAACTGTTCTTACTACAATTTGCATGTATTTTCTGGTGATAGAAATGTAATACAGTATCAAGACAGTATAAAAATGACAGTATATTAATCTGAGAAGATTTTGTGATTGTTCTTTGTCTAAATTTTTTTGTTTTGATGTAGTTTTACATTGAGCCTTTTTTTAAATTAAATGTGAAAGAATATGGATAACTTGAGTTTTAAGATGAATATTGAGTTGTTAACCATTAAAGCCTGTGTGTTAACAAATTATATTTTGAAAGCTTGCTCAATCTTAAGCTGAAATTATACATTTCAACAAAATTTCATTACAGGGTTTGTTGTAATGAATAAGATAGTATACACAGTAATATACATTTTATTCTATTGCATGTTATTCTAAATTGTTAATATTAAGAAGAGTTGTGTAAAATATCCATAAATCATAAGAGTAATTTGCCTTCTTGGTGACAACACAGGATGTTTAATGTTATTGAAATACTGACATAGTGCAAGGGTAACCCATCCCAAAATGCCTAGTGTTAGGGTCCATGAAAAGTTATCTGCAGAAAGTGAAGTTAACACGAATGCTGACAACTTCTGCCTTAATGAGTGATGTCACTTGGAGGTGTGAATGTCTGAGGAAATAGCTGCTTGGAATGAGACCCAGAGTGTCTTAAAAATTTCTTGCAGCCTGATTAAGGCAGTTTCCCCAAAAGTTTGGCCACCGTGAATTCACCAAAGTTAGCAACAAAGACTATCTTGGGTTGTTCTTGTAAGAGACTAATTTTCTGCAGAATTATTGAACAAAAAAAATAAGAGTATGGTACTAGTACAGTAGTTTACTTAGACTAAGAACAGCTGACTCTTTGACTGTGAAGAGCAGTCATCCAGCATTAAAGTTGAAGTTGAATTTATCCCAGTAAATGTGGGAGGTGTGCCTTTTTATTAGCATTCTGGTAATTGGGTACTTGTAGCACATATTTCTTTTTTCCCATGTTAATATCAAATAAATCTTTTGTGACATTTGTTGGTGTTTTACATACAATACAACAAGGAAAATTTGGTGCCATGCATTATTTTATTACTGTTTACAGTAAAGCTATTGTATTAATGTTTAGTATTTCTGTTATTCTATTTTCATCAATCCGTTAATGTGTCCCTCTTCCTGGTGCTGTTCTTCAGCTATATCTTATGTTCTTATGTTCCCTCCCTTGTCCAACATTCTTGTAGTCATCCATGGCTGGTTTCTCCTTGCTCCCTCAGACCATCTCGCTCAACTTTTTTTTTTTTTTTTTTTTTTTTTTTTTTTTTTTTTTTTTTTTTTTTTTTTTTTTGCTCAATATTCCAAATCACTTTTCTTCTTTTACATTCCATCTTTAATCTTGCTGCGAGTACAGTGTATTTCAAATGTAACGTTTACCTGTGTGTTTTGAGTTTCATAAATACTTTGTGATAAAGTATTGCAAATGAAAAAAATAAGATGTGATCCAATTTTAAGTCTACAGTGGGACCTTACTCAAACTTCATCAAGTTGCCTTGTTTGACTGGTTTGACTGCAACAAAATATCCATATTTCATATTTTTTTATGCATTATGCATCCCATACTCATCCCTAGGGTGGTGGTGGACCCCATACCCATCCCATGGCTGGTAGTGGATCCCATACCTACTCCGTGGGCAAAGGTATTGGCAAAGGTTCCAGACGTGCAAAGTGCCTTGGAACTGAACCCCAACAATAGTTTAGCTAAACTAGTAATGATCTTGATAAGCTAGTTACACGATTTAATGTAAATATATCAGTAGTCATTTATAGAATAATTGGTTCAAGAACTGGACCCCATTAAGTTTCCAAGCCTAGGAATTTATATACATCTCTGGTGAGTGAGTTGCAGTACATATTTACTAATTGTGTACCCCCCCACCCACACTCATCAATGGACGGTGGTTGAAAGTTTACAATCATGTGCATAGTGACATAAATTATGTGAATAGTTCTGCAGACAGCTTTCATTTGGTCAGATCTACTTCAGCAGGTGGTGCAAGCTCCCAGAGGTACCTGTAGCAGAACCTAAGCTAAGCAGGAGAAGTATAGAAGTCTGCTGAACCTTATTGGATGACCTAAAGATTTGTGCTGCCTCCAGCATAATAGATGGGATAAGTGGTGAGGGCAACCCTAGGGTCTACTCAATTTTGTTGGGATTCTTGACATATTAATTACTGTGTTGCTGCTCAGATTCAATCTGGTATGATAATCTCCCTCTTAAAGAGCATGTACGTTGGATAACTTGTTAAGTTCTATCGTGCATTCGGAGGCCATCTCATTATTAACATAAATCTTCAGTCATAATAACGTACCACAATCTCAGACATTACTCTGCACCCTTACTACAATCCCCAAATATGTTAAATATCATGTCACTTCACACACATTAACGTGTTACCTGGTTACCTGGTTGATGGGGTTCTGGGAGTTCTTCTACTCCCCAAGCCCGGCCCGAGGCCAGGCTCGACTTGTGAGAGTTTGGTCCACCAGGCTGTTGCTTGGAGCGGCCCGCAGGCCCACATACCCACCACAGCCCGGTTGGTCCGGCACTCCTTGGAGGAATAAATCTAGTTTCCTCTTGAAAATGTCCACGGTTGTTCCGGCAATATTTCTTATGCTTGCTGGGAGGACGTTGAACAACCGCGGACCTCTGATGTTTATACAGTGTTCTCTGATTGTGCCTATGGCACCTCTGCTCTTCATTGGTGCTATTCTACATTTTCTTCCATGTCGTTCACTCCAGTACGTTGTTATTTTACTGTGTAGATTTGGTACTTGGCCCTCCAGTATCTTCCAGGTGTATATTATTTGATATCTCTCTCGTCTTCTTTCTAGTGAGTACATTTGGAGGGCTTTGAGACGATCCCAATAATTTAGGTGCTTTATTGCATCTATGCGTGCCGTATATGTTCTCTGTATTCCCTCTATTTCAGCAATCTCTCCTGCTCTGATGGGGGAAGTGAGTACTGAGCAGTACTCAAGACGGGACAACACAAGTGACTTGAACAGTACAACCATTGTGATTACTGTACTCTATATCTATAAAACTAATCCTGACAAACACTTCCAAGAGGTCAATAACACAACCCAAGAGCACTACACAAGAAACAAAAATCTATTTTGATATTCCTGTAGACTTATCAAAGCTGAAATGCTATGCAATTAATGGCCTCCAAAATTATTTAAAATGCTGTATTTTCTCAACCAGTTAAAAGACGAAACTAAGAAATACCTTTCATGTAATAAATTTTACTTTCATTTCCTCAATTAATTTTTTTTTACTTTGCATGAATTTACCTGAAGGGCCACCATATATTTAGTGGCTTCGTTGAGGACAGGACGTCGACAGATTGTAAAATGTCCCCTCATTTCTCCTGTTGATTTTATCCGTTTTGAATGGCAGTAATGTCTGCATTTACGGCTTCGGCGGGTAGGCGGTTCTATGGATATGTAAACCATGGTCAAAAAGCATCTGTTTTCTGTTTTAGCTTTTCGCAAATGTGAATTGCTTTGCTTAAAGGCTATACTCGTGGTCGTTGTTGAACCCATTAATTGTCGATACTACACACATTAAACTGTGTAACTAGTTTATCAAGACTGTAACTTACTTAGTTAAATAAATTTTGAACTTTGTTCTTGAGCCCATTATGTGCCTGTAACCTCCATTACAACCGACAGGATGGTTATAGGTTACATAATAACTGACGAAAGTAATCTACTTCACGTCAGCAAAATTCCAGCAATGGTTACTAAAAAATGTTGAGAGGAATGAAAGTTTTAGGTACTATATATACTGTATATCGTTCTACCTAATCTTGCTGTCGGAGGCAGGGATTTTCGAGATTGTCAATGATTATCTACGAGTGTTGGGCAAACTCTTATTATAATTCATTCATTATAATATGAATTTATGTTTGAGAACATTCCCATTTTGAATGAACAGCTTGTTACAATTTATGAATGCGTCTGTGGGGTCGACCGCTGGATGGAATGGACTTGAGTCGAGGACGGGTTGCGGAGTTGGTTTAGTTCTGCGGTGATTTTGTCGCTCTGTTTTGAATATTGTTTTCATCCGGGAAAACGTGAGTAGTTGGCCCAGGAGGCTAGGGAGGGCCTAAGGAGGCTAGGAGGCCTCGATAAGTGTAAGTACAGGTTTCTTATCCTTAAAAACGAGAATTAAGTCCTTTTGAAGGGTAGTCGGTCTTCAACGTGTTTGAATGCTTCGGAAACTCAATTGTGTAGTTTGCATTTTGCATGATTGCAGAGTTCTTTTTTTTCTGAGATATATACAAGAGTTGTTACATTCTTGTACAGCCACTAGTACGCGTAGCGCTTCGGGCAGGTCCCTGGAATACGATCCCCGCCGCGAAGAATCGTTGTTACAACCAAGTACACATTTTACTGTTGAGTTAAACAGAGGCTACAGTTAAGGATTTGCGCCCAGTAAATCCTCTCCGGCCAGGATACGAACCCCTGACAAAGCGCTCGCGGAACGCCAGGCGAGTGTCTTACCACTGCACCACGGAGACTAAGTTCACTAGTTCACTAGTTCACTAAGTTCACTAGTTGTCCGAAACAAGGGAAAACGGCTTCAAGCTCAACAAGCCGAAATGAAGGAAAAAAAAGATGCTTTTTTCACCTATAGGGTTAAAAAGTAACGGAATAACGTAACCGGCGAGGCCGTAAATTCCTACTTCAGCTTAAACAAAGTTGGAAAAATCCTCAGGGCAACACGAAAGACCTTTGACAAGGCCACAAGAGAGAGAGAGATGGGTGGCTGTCTGGTAAATTCAAGTATATACAGGCATCAGAGATTTGAACGGCTGAATAAGCCCTGTATTTTGACGAGATCACATATTAGAAAGTGAAGGGACGACGACGTTTCGGTCCGTCCTGGACCATTCTCAAGTCGATTGTGGACCGAAACGTCGTCGTCCCTTCACTTTCTAGTGTGTGGTCTGGTCAACATACTTCAGCTACGTTATTGTGACTCATCGCCTGCAAACCCTGTATTTAACAAATGTTTAACTTTAAGGTTCGTAAATATGATTTAAAGAAAGGAGTCCCACCCAATACCATTTAAAACAACGTTTTCTTTGATTAAAATTAATTTTGTTAACATCACAGATGTTTTTGTTAAAGTATATATATTATTTAGTTATTTTAACGTAAAACATTTACAAAATATATATCGTAACATTTCTAGCATTAAAATGTACTCACATATTAGAATTCCCTATTTTCAGTTAGAAATATAAGTGTTGATAGTTTAGTGTATATGTGTTTGCCTTTATTTTTGGAGGGTATTTTGTCTATTAAACATCCAGGCATAAAATATAACATAACAAAATAAATTAAATCAGTTCATTGGACAACTATAATGACCACAATTAGCAGAAATTTACAAACAATCGCGGTGAAGAAAATTGGACGCCGAATTCACCCTATTAAAAAAAATATATATATATTTTCGTAGGAATTACAAGTTAGATCTTAATTGGTAAGTAGTGAGTCTTTAATGATTTAGAAGGCGTGAGAGATGAGGAGGAGTTAGAGTGGTGTGAAATAAGGCGAGAGAGAGAGGGGGGAAGGGGAGAGAGAAGTGGCAACACTGTAGCCACCATAACAACACACTGAGACGCGCCGCGCACACCCAACCTTAAGGCTGGGAAATATTGGCTCCTGCTCCTCCTGCAGCGTCGCCTGCTGTCCCTCGGTGACGGTGGCCGCTCCTCCTCAAGGCTGTGAGGTGTGTGAGGTAGGCTCAGTCTAGGGTCTGTCTGGGGGGGGAGGGGTCTTGGAAGACGCTGCTGCCTTGTCTTGGAAGGTGTCACCCTGTGTGTTATTGAGGTGTCTTGTGTGTTTTCTTGGGTCACTTGTCAACTCTTGTCTTGCCTGTCACCTTGTGTGGGTTGTCACCTTGTCGTGCCTGTTATCTTCTTGTCGTGCATGTCACCGCCTTGTCTGATCTGTCACCTCCTTGTCTCGCTTGTCACCTGCTCCTTGAACCTGTCACCCCCGTCTATAATAGATTAGTCTACTTGGGCCTGGGAGAAGGTTGAACGGTTAATAGATTAGGTCTACCTGGGGAAAGTAGATTGGCCAAATTGGCTCTTCCTGAGATACGACCTGTCTCCAATAGTGGGTGATACGTTACTGGATTATGTCTGTAACGACTACCACCGATTGTTACCCTTCTTGCAATCTTACTATTATAAGTAAGATGTTATGCCCTGACATCGGCTATACTTCGAGGTCAACTCCGGAACTCACAGTTCCTGCGACGGCGCTGGAATCAATCATATTGGCGTTTGCCTTTACATTGGAGACTTTCGGCGCCGTGGAGAGGGGGGACCTGCTGCATGGGTAACAGCTTCTCCATATCTACCTACCCTGGCTTTGCGCCCTGGAGAGGCCACTCCAGACAGACAACCAGAGCGCAACTCCATAGTCTCCTGCGACTGATGGATGCCTATTACTACTTTTATTAGTATAGCTGGTGTCGGGGTACAATTATTACTTCTACTGCTAATTCCCCTACCTGCAACACTGATGTCAATGTATCTGTTATAATTATACTTTCATAGCCATGACGATAAATAATTATTCCGTCATTGCCAATTGTAATTATGGTTCATGGCCATGAGTGCTTAATTAATTTTAATTTGTTTTGTTGGGGACAGGAAACCTGTGAATATGTATATTTTCGATACCCCCAAAGTTGTACTACTGACCCTCTCCAGGATGCAAGCCCACAGCAGTTGGCTAACTCCTGGGTACCTATTTAGTTTTAGGTAAACGGAGGTACTAGGTGAAAGGAAATATCTTCTGCTTGTTTGAAGTAATAATATATTTTACTAGTAAATCAAAGCAAAACCACTTGCCAGAAACGCTATGCGTGATAGTGGCTTTACAAGAATGTAAAATAACCATTATTACTATGTACTCTCTTATCCTCCAATCTACCTTCTTGTATATAAATAAATAATAAATAAATAAATTAAATAAAAAATCAATAAATCAATCAATTTAGTACCATGACTGTCTTTCTTTGTACTGTATTTCAAATACAGTACAGTATTTGGATTTAGGTCATAAACATAATTTTTAATCTATACTTTCTCAACATTGACTTGCTTCTTCTGCAGATGTGGAGACCATACGATGTTACCATATTCAAGATGTGGGCCAACAAGAGCCTTCTATAGCAGAACTAGTGAGTCTTGATTTTAAGTTCTCATTGATCTGTTAATATGTTCAGGAATGACATTGTCTCTGTTCACCATAGCATAATGTGTGTCTACTAAACCAAAGAGCTTATCTGAAAAGTGTGCACAAATGTATTTTTGCTGTTGGTATTTAAATAGCTGTAGCTGCAAGCAAAATAAGCTCCAATGTGGGAAAGACAACAGAAAACCTTTTTCACCCATAAGGTAATAAGCTAATAAAATTACAATCCTCCTGAAGTCTCTAAAATATGGATAATATTGTTCCAGATCTAATCTGTGTTTTTGAATAATTGTTATTTTCAGGGAGGACACCCTCAGTAGCTCTCTAATACTACAACCTGACAATGACTCGGCCTTGGGAACGCGCCAGGTCTTTGAAGATCAATGACTGCCTGTCATTGGCAGTGGTTCGTAACGGTACATATAAATAGTTATACATAATGCGTGTATACAGTGTCATAATAGCAAAAAATAGTGTTTTATTGTTCAGTGAATATTATATAGTGTATAAGTATTAGTAAGACGAATATTATGTGCATCATTCCCACAGCATCACTTAATGACAGTTCTGAGGCTTTCGTCTGTGTGCATCTAGCAACGGTCTGTGTTGGTTCGCTGACTCTGGATGCTCCTACAGTGGGGTTACAGAGTATCACCTGATGTCTGTGCCTCTGTGAGGAGACCAGAGGTCTCCTCACAGAGGAGATCACATGAACATTAAAAAATGATCATATGGACAATAAAACAAAGTCAAATAATACTATTTTATTTTATTTTGGCCGTGATGAAGAGAGGAACGTTCATGAGGACGTCATAATTCATGAACTTAATGGAGCAATATTCCTCTGGAGGTCGCCCCGGGCCAAGCATAGGGTGGGGAGTTGTCTCGAAGATATTTTGACATATTTATTTCACTGTCACTGAGTTTTTTTTACTGGTTTTTGCAGTGATATTCAATAGTGTGTCGTTTGTGAAATTTATATAATAAAATGTTTAGAACCTTGGTATGTTCAAATATATTCATGTCATTAACATGTGTACCATAATATATTCTTAGAACAATAAAACATGCTGTTTTGCTATTATTACACTGTATACACACATTATACTGTATATAACTATCTACATTTTTATGCACCAATACAAACCACTAAGCAGTTCTGGTGGGTGTAATAATCTTGTAACCAGTGATCAGAGTTCAGCTTAGACCCTGCATATTTTGCACAAAGTTGTAACTGGACATATTGCATATACAGTATTATATTTTCTTCCTATTTTTAATATTTTTATCATGGTTAATCAAGTGCAGTGATGCAGTGAGCTGTCATTAATGACAGCTGCTGCATGCTGCAGCTGGCAATAATGACAGCTGCTGCATGCCCTACTCACGTCACTCCCGGTACTTAGGCCACACAGGAGGGGTGCCCATGATTTTTTCCGAGATGGTATCTGTTTACTGGAGGTCTGAGAAAACAGATGTGAATCCTGTGTGTTTGTGGAAGTTAAAACATCCCTCATTGTTTTATCCAGTGCGATCATAAATGACGAGAACACCTCTGATTGTCATGTATATTTGAATGGTAGAAAGTTGAGGAACGACTGACAACATTGCTTGCCTTTCAGACTCGGTGTCAGTAACCCGTTTTTGTCTGGCTTTCAGGTCATAGCTGTCAATATAGTATTATACAATAATGTTATTAAAGCCCTTGATTACACTATAACTATTTTCTGAGACTCGCAGATAAATTTGTCTACCAATTTTCAGTCATTAAAAAATCAAGACACTCTTTGAGAATTTCATGTGTAAATTTAAAACGACCTAATGCTATTGTTTTATGGGGGGGGGTTGAATTATGCAAGTTACATGGAGGATTAACTATGTCTATTGCTTTACAGGGGGTGAACTATGCAAGAATGACGTTGAAACTGGAAAATATATCGCTGAAGAAAACGAAGGGAAATTTGACATTGTTGATGTTCATTAAAGGTACCAATGTTCATCAGATACTATGTATAAGGAAGATCAGTTCTTAAGGCATTTACTTTGAAATAGAGTTAAAGATAAACAAAATTATTATTTTATTTAAACGACTTTGAAAGAATGAGTAATATGATGTATTCTTTAAACTGTACTTATCCAACTCAAAGCTCTCCGGTGTTTTCACGGCCCATACATCCAGATCAATTGAGGCTACCACCTGTTCATGGTAAAAATTTTGTATGTAAGTGTAGTAAAATATTTTCCAATAAAGCCGATTTTACACGGCACATAAGAGTTCACACTGGAGAGAAACCTCATGCATGTACTGTATGTGGGAGAGAATTTTCCTTGAAAGGCAATCTTACAAAGCATATGCAGCTTCACACAGATAAAAAAACTTATTGTTGTCCTGATTGCACTAAAACATTTCACAAAAAAGTATATCTTCATCAACATATGAGAATTCATACTGGAGAGAAACCTTTTAAATGTACACATTGTGATAGAGCATTTTCTTTGAAAGGCAACCTTGTTCAGCATGTCAAGCTGCATACTGATAGGAAGTCCTATGAATGTCCAGAGTGTGACAAGCTTTTCCTCAAGAAGAGCTATCTTGATCAACATTTGCGAATACACACTGGTGATAGACCTCACAAATGTGATCAGTGTAATAAAGCATTTTCACTGAAGGGCAACTTAGTACAGCATATGAAAAGACATAGTGGAGAAAAGCCTTTTTCTTGCAATGAATGTGGGAAATCTTTTGCTTTGAGAGGGGCCCTAAAAGAGCACGATAAAGTACATGGTGGTGAAAAGCCTTTTATATGTACAGTTTGTAATAAAGCATTCAAAAAGAAAGTTTATCTTGTGCAACACACTCGAGTTCACACTGGCGAAAAGCCCTTTTCTTGTACTGAATGTGGCAAGTCATTTTCACAGAGAAGTATTTTGAATCAGCACAAGAAGCGACATCGAGAGCAATCCTTCAAGTGCGCGGATTGTCATAAACTGTTTCTTAAAAATATTTACGTCCCCATAAAAAAACAGAATGCGAGACTCGGACCTTTCAGGTGCAGTGATTGCGAGGAGGAAGAACAGGAACATCTTGTGAAGCCCGACTTTGATGACAGTATGTTGAATGACGACGAAGGGGCCTACACCTGCAATGCCTCGGACTCAGATTGCCATCCAAATTCTTGTCTGTCTCACGACGAAACAAAATATTTTGAAAATATTGATATGTCTCTCGGTGAGAAAAGGTGTACAGATATTTCAAAACCCGTAAACAATAGTGATGACATACCACTTTCTGAGTGCAATATTAGAAACTTGGTTTCCAAAAATGGTAGAAAATTGAGTGAACTAATACATTCAAGCCATCTCAATCTGGACTGTGCCGATTTAACCAAGTTTCAAAGCAGTTCACACAAATCCAGTCATGCAGACCATATTCCCAATAATTCCTATTGGTGCCCTTCTGGGAGCACCTCATTGAAGAGAGTGCATGTTGACCAGCTCACCATGGCAGAAGGTGAAGAAATGTTGTAAAAGAACATTCTCTACTGGATGCAAGATTATTGGTAAATAGTACAAATTGTCAAAGTGATGATGTTTGTTTTGTAATGCTTTTTGTATTTAAAATTATTATTTTGTTCATAAATTGATAAAATTCTAGATTCTCTTTTATAAGTGTCATATTTCATGTGATTTTATAAATTATTTAAAGATTATGCTAATGAACATGTTTCTGAGCTGGAACCCCTGGCTGCTCCCAAGCTATTGGCTAGAGTTCATCTCGGATGAAGGATGCCAGAGGAAAGAGTTCTGAATTATCTATCATGGCAGTCACTTTTAGTCAGTCACTGTGGCAGTCACAGTCAAAACAACCTACTCAACACCTCTTTGAAATTATTATTGGGTGTTACCAATAAGCAATTATTGCTTTGCAAGCTGCTAATTACCAATAAGCAATTATTGCTTTATAGCTGCTAATGAGCTACCCATCATCTGACCACCAGTAACTGGCGGCTCCAGCTACACTATACTACAGAGGAACCGGCAATCTCATTTTCTGCCTAACAGTCCACCTCTACAAATATTCAGTGCTTAGCTCACTTCATGGCATGGTTACTATTTTGAGTGTCTAGATATCTCATTCCTCCATTGTCAGATTAAATTTCAGGGTTATCGTTTCTGGCGGAGACTATACAGTACAAAGACCGAGGGTGCCAGAGTTTTGTGTGTTGACATGGCTTCACTCCTCTTGAGCTGGCCACTGTCTTTCCAGTGCCTTTTGAGACCTAGTCTTGGGCCTACACTGAGACTGTACTTGCATTGTCTCCTTAGAAGAATTGTGTAATAGAAGTTTCATTTTTGATAATTTGTGAGTGAATGTTTTCACACTTGCTTTTATTTTAGGAAGGGGTTACCATAACCCTTCCCTATCATGAAGTCCGTGGGGTCAAGTGAGGTCATTCTGGATTCACCCCTCCTTGTATCTTGCCTGCTGGTTTGGGTATTAGCTTGGGGTCTAGGCAATATGATTCATCCAAGGTTCAGGAATTGGGTAAGGTTTTGTGCTGGACACACATTACCACATTCGTGTTCATTGCATTGGGCTTAACCTGGCATCAAGACTGTTCACCAAGCTCAACTGCGATTCTGCAGGTGTCTCGGCTCTACAGTGTATCTCCCCTGGCCCACCCCAGCTAGTTGTGCTTGTCTGCTAGATAGGGCTATGGTATGTGGGGGCCTGTAGTGGTTGGGAGCTGATTTGGCATACTAGGTCGATATATCAGACACACTCTCTCCCTTCTTCAGGGTTGAATTGGCTTGGCAGTGATGCCTGACTCAGAGGAAGTCCATGCAGCTCCTGGGTCACCTGAATTTTAACTATGTGGTCTGTCCTCTAGAGCAGCATTTTTAAATCTTTGTACCCTTGAAATAATTCTGGGCCATACTTTAGATAAACACACACACACGGATTTCATGGTCAACCGGGGGAGATGACAGTGTCTTCTATCGTCTCCTAGTTGACAGGAGGAGAAGGAGCAGTAGAGGCTGTGCCGCCTCTACTGCCCGTGCTTGTTTTGATGGCCTGGGCTTCAGGTGAGGTGGCCAGCCTTCTGGTAGGGTGGCATAGCCAAAACTTCATCCGGCGGTGGCTAGATGATGGGTAACTCAGCAGCTGAGCTAAGTAGTTTGCTAAGCTATAATTTACTATCCGATGACACCAATTATAGTTTGGAAGGGGGTGTTGAGTGATTTGTTTGATCATTTTTTGTCTAATTGAGTACATAACTACTTTGGTGGATAATTGAGAATATTCTCCTCTGGCTTCCCTCTCCAATCACAGGGCTCACATGGACACGGCAGTTTTAAAAGGTATTTGTTATGGTGGGGTGAAGGAGGTCACAGTGGGCCTAGAGTGAATTCTGGCTAATAGCTCTGAAAGCAACCGAATTGCTGCTTAGAAAAGCGTTTCATGTCGCTCAATGCCCTATGTTAGTTTATAATTTTATTTAAATACAGTATTTTTTATTTTATTTAAATCTTTTATTTGTATTAATGTTTTATTATTATTAAATACAAACTCGTATTAAATGTTTCTTTAAGGCTTCTGAAAAGGCCCCTCAGTAGCTTTCTAGTGTTTATGTTATGGTAATGATAAGTCTATGAATTGTGTTGGGCCTTTTGAGACCCATGCTGATCTACAGGATGTCTGGATTAGAATCGGGCTCCCTTTATGGAGCAAAGGATCAGAGATCACCCCACAAAACTGGGTAAAATCTACCAGAAAGCATAGGCACAACAAAACAAATGAGTACATGAAAGAAATTAGGCACTGCAGGCGATGAGTCACAATAACGTGGGTGAAGAATGTTGACCAGACCACACACTAGAAGGTGAAGGGACGACGACGCTTCGGTCCGTCCTGGACCATTCTCAAGTCGATTCTCACAATCGACTTGAGAATGGTCCAGGACGGACTGAAAAGTCGTCGTCCCTTCACCTTCTAGTTTGTGGTCTGGTCAAATTAGGCACTCCCTAGATAAACAAGGCAAATGATACAACTATAAATTTTCTCTAGCCTGCATTGTTTCTTTCCCTTTGTGTTACTGTTAGACAATTCTGTGGATTCGGCAGCATTTCTGCCTTTTTTTGGTTTATTTTATTGAACTATCACTAAGAAGAATGTTTGGTTTGTTGATTTGTTCACCGATATATCATGATAATGTGATTTCTCTGTGTCTGTTATTTCAGAGGGGTCATTTGGTCATCAACACCTGATTTTCTGGTCTAGGTTGCACCATAATCTCTTGTTACTGTTGTGCCATATTATTTGTATTGTACGCTGTATTTCACTGCTCGGGAGGATGTTTAATAATCCTTTGTTTCTAGGGGGTACAGTTCAACCAGGCTGCTGTCTACTCTCTTTCATGGTATGGAAACGTTGGCTGCTTTGCCTGTATTGTTTGCTAATATGCTGGCCTTGCTACTTATTTGATTTTCTGCATCCTTGCTATGCCTATATGGTGCTTGGGCATCTACTCACCTATTTGCTCACCTATTTGTGCTTGCGGGGGTTGAGCTCTGACTCTTTGGTCCTGCCTCTCAACTGTCAATCAACTGGTGTACAGGTTCCTGAGCCTACTGGGCTCTATCATATCTACACTTGAAACTGTGTATGGAGTCAGCCTCCACCACATCACTGCCTAATGTATTCCATTTGTTAACTACTCTGACACTAACAAAATTCTTTCTAATATCTTTCTTTCTTTCTAATATCTAATTCTTTCTAATATCATCTGGCACATAGTTGATGCTGCACTAACCTGGGCCCCTGCTCCTCTACTGTTTTTTCCCATAGGTAAATCTTTTGTGTCTTTGCTGATCCTATGTTCCCTTTCACCAAAACAATTCTCCTCTCTCTAAGGCTTTGTTGTGAACAAGCATTGGGATGCTACTGAAGGGTCTTTCCAGAAATCAAAAATTGAATGTAATAGAATGCTTTTTTCTGGTAGACTAGTAGCTCACTAATCTTGGCCAGTTTTCCATTATTTTTCCCCTGTGGTGTTTTTTTTTCTTTGGGGTTGTGTATGACCAACTCGTGAGGTAGGTTCGGGGGGAATTGGGACCCCAGGGTGCTCTTGGCTGCCATCTGGTGGCTGCCAGGCACTTTACACTTATGATTGCTTACCCACAAAAAGCTATCTTTTCTTTCTCTTTACTCATTTTGATTTGTTTATTTCAGGTAATATTTTGTTTTGTTTTGCCTAACTTTACTGGATGGTTTTCTCAAATTTCCCTCACCATGTAGAGAGAGGCAGAATGCAGCCTCTCATTCAGAATGTGGTTCTGACTTGCGGTAGATCGGCATTGGTCTCACAGGCCTGGCACGATCCTTTGGCCTTGTGGTGCCAGCACGTAGGCACTTGGAGCTCCTGAGGTCCTACCAGAAAAGGGCATTTCATTACATTCAGTGCTTAATTTTTTTTTATCATTCATGAGAAAAGTTGTTGAAGTAGTTGATGTCACTGAAATATATAAAAGTTTGGTGTGCACCAATAGAGAAATTAGTTTTAAGATACAGAAGGAAATTACTTTCAGAAACTACATATGAAGTAAGATAGAAGACTAGTAAAAGAATACAAATCTATTTTTAAACACATGTCTGTGAGCATAGTGCTTGGAACATTATTGCCAGTTACCTGTAAGTAAATTATAAAATTTGCCTTCGTGTAGGAGCTAGTGCAAATAGTATAAGACTAACCTCAGATATAATACTTCTACCTGTTTGTTAATAAGATAGCTATTTCCTATGTTGTAGTTTGCTAAGCTCCTAGACTGTTTTTTAATCGCATCATATTTGCTTATTTTTTTAGGATACACGATCTGGAAGCAATTTGATCTTAAGTAATGCCCTTCATCAGATATATGAATGATATATTTATTTAACTCTTCACCTGGGCATTTCTCATTCTTGCATTTTAAGAAATAGGAAGAGAACACTTGACAGTATTGCACTTCCCACAGATGGATATATCAATAGTAGTGAACTTTCCTCGATACCGTACCAGTTCAGCCATCTCAAAGTAAGATACCTGTACTGTATATATTTAGTGGTTTCCTCTAGAGGTACTGCGTGAAAAATATCTCCATGTCACTGAAAGTTATTTAACCCTTAAAAAGATCAGCTGATTAAAAGTTTTACATCAAGAGCGCCTGACAGCTGGGTGGACAGCGCTTCGGATTCATAGTCCTGAGGTTCCGAGTTCGATCCCTGGTGAAGGTGTAGACAAATAGGTGAAATGTTTCTTTCACCCTAATGCCCCTGTTACCTAGCAGTAAATAGGTATCTGGGAGTTAGCCAGCTGCTACGGGCTGCTTCCTGGGGGATGTGTAACAAAAAGGAGGGCTAGTCGAGGACCGGGCCGTGGGGACGCTAAGCCCCGAAATCATCTCAAGATAACCTCAAGATATGGTGCACACAACAGAAAGTAGTTTGCAAAACAAATGTAAATTAATTGCATTGGATGAGTCGAGTACAGGTAATCGCTGATAGTGATTGGAGCTGTTTAGGGGTTAAACCGTTTATAGATTTTGTGTTTAGTGGCTATTAAATGCACTATTAACTACCAGCAGGGATCACAAAATTGTCATTCATTTTCATATACTGTGGACTATGTGAGTAACACAGTGGTAGCTCTTCCCATCTCGCAGAGGAAACAGTTAGATAATCTTTGATGCGTGTAAATAAATAACCAACCCAAATATATATATATGAAATAAAATGATGGTGACGACACTTTTTTGGTCCATTGTTTACCCTTATCAAATCATTTTCATTTCATTTGGTATGTGTGGGTTGGGTTATTAGTTTCAGCCATGTTATTGGGACTTATTTCCCACTGTTACATTTCTCATGTGTTTTTGTTTTTGTTAGTGACTCCTCCATTTCCATTATACAGAATCTTTTTCATTAGTACCTGTATTAGCATTAATTTTAAAAATCTACTTTAAATTTGAATTATTGATCTAATTTGCATTACTTTGGGTTTGAGCATTAATTTGGGTTTGTATCAGAGTTGGTAAAACAAAACAAAAAAAAACATGTACAAGTATTTTCTTAAAACCGAACCTGCCTAGGTTGGGGTGGATTAAGTTTTTAAATATCTAATCTGTAGACAAAAGATGCAATTAATTTGAAATAGAAATAACTATCTTAGCCCATATTAGTGCAAATTTTTTGTTTAAATCTGTCTTTTTTTTTTTTTACTGAAAAGCCGGCCCAGGTGGATAAGTAGGTAGCTACCATGTATGGTTTGTATGCATGTATACACCTCATGAAATAAACACCATACCCTGGTTTGTATGCATGTATACACCTCAAAAAATAAATAAATCAGATTTTTCTTCTTCATTTAATTAGTTTGTTAAATGGTGGACATATTAACATTGCGGTTTTATAAGAACGTCTTAGTAATATATATAGATTTTAAATTCCTGCTTGGCTTAGTGCTTATCCAGTTGCATTTCATATTTTAAGAATATACAAAAACATAGATACAACCTTTAATGATTGCATTGGCAATTTTGAATTACTGTATTGTTCAATAAGCAAGGGATTTTTATTGAAAAAATTGACAATTTATTTGTCTTGCAAAATAGAAGGTTGATCAAGGAATCTGAAACACATATTTTTTTAACCACTAAAATATTTTACAAGATTCTGGAATAAATCTCTTAACATTTAAGACCTTTACTGTTGGCAAACATATGTGGTTTGTTATTCAGCTCTTAATTAACATCAGTATCATGCATCATCAATCTAGTAATTTTTTCTCATTAGGAATTAACTCTGAGGAACTGTAATACAAGAAAACCTTGATATTTTTGCAGAAGGTCGGCAAAATTCTTTTCTAGAAATATATGCTTTACCGCTGTGGCTGTAGTTTGGAAGTTTCAGCTTAGTTACAGGGAATTTATTTGGTATAATAAATTTAAAATTATTGGATTTATTGGTAGAAAACTTGTACAGTGTGACCTCGATTATGTGGACCAGCTGGTACTTCCGGATGGAAAAATAAACTGGATAATTGAACAAAAGATTGCAAGATGTAATTTTTGGTAATATTTTGTTGTATTTTCATGTTTATTTTATGTCACATGTACTAAATATGTCTGTAATGGGGTTTTGATTGGAATGCACAATTGTGTTTCTAGGAAACCAATTACATTTTTGTGTTGGTATAATTGTCATCCGCCACCGAATTGCGCCGAGACGACACGAAGAACGGGGGATAAACCCCATTAACCAAAAATGCCCCAGTAAATATGGGTGGGAAACAGGAAGTTTCTATCCCTGTAATAATCTAAAAATACAGAAAACAGTGATTTAGGTAATGGGGGGCTCCACTGTACAGTATATGTAAACCATGGTAATTTATAAGACCATCTTATAATTGAAACATGAACATTTAGAAAAATTCATGGCAATTGGGTGATATTTTTTACCACAATTTATAAAGAAGTCATTAATTAA